AATAGCTGTGGTTTGTGTTAGGTACTCCTTAGTTATCAACATGACATCTTTGTTGTCTTTTAAAAAAAAAAATACTTTAAAGAGGTCTTTTACAGGGATTTGTATAATGCAGTATGTTGTTTGATTTCTTGTTGCTGCTTCCATCGGCATTGCGTATGGGTCCGTATAAAATGAGATCTGAGATCATGCCTCTGTTTATCATGGTGTTGCTGATTGGTCCAATTGTGAAAATTTTTGTTTTCTTTATGTTGAGGTGTAATCCATACTGAAGGGTCAGTCTTTGGCCCTTGTTAAAGTAAGTGCTTCAAGTCCTCTTGGCTTTTAGCAAGCAGGGTTGTGTCAACTGCATGTTGCATTTTTTAAAAGTGTTTATTGTGAATTGTGATAGTTTCCATGGGAGAATGTCGGTTATACACTCATCCTATCATATTTCATTTTATTGCAGTGAATCATCATTCAACATTTGCTTCTATTCCCTCTGTTTGTTTTTTTGGGGGGAGAGGGGATGTACACAAAATCACTTAGGAATATACAATCATTTAAACAACCCAAGGGCACATTCTGCAAGCCTGCCTCCTGGCCACCAATGCACAGCCTTTCTCTTTACATGAGACTAGAGTCCTCAGCTGCTGTATCTCTCCATGTCATCACCTCTGCCTCCATCTCTGGTGTCACTGCCTCTCTGGATTAGGGTCCCACATTCCACTCATGCTCTTCTCCCTTGATGGTCCTAGGGGTCCTCTGTTCCTGAAATGTAAGATTAACTACTCTCCTATTTGTGTTACAGAACTTCTACCTTTACAGTTGTGACAACCGCAATTCTTCATGATAACAGTTACTATTTATTGAATCATAAATATCTCATCCCCATCTCCTTTCACCAGAGCCATCTAGACAGATGAAACTATTCAGGGGGGATTCTGCCTTCCCCAGCACACTCTGAAACTAAACTCCCTCTTGAAAACTTGTGAGTCAGTCACTTCGTGCCTTTATAGTCCCCGTTCCCCCCTCCCTCAGTTTAGGTAGCCAATGTTTAAGTTGTCTATCCCTATCAATCCTGTCTTACAGAGGGAATAGGACTGGTCCTTGATATGAAGACTCCTTCCCTCTCGGTGTTTTGATCTACAACATCCAATAAGTATAGGTCAAGTTCATCAAATTGTAGCAATTTATACTTGTTTCCTTTATCAGACTTCTTTATCTCCCTCTAGTCAAATTCTAATCATCAAGCCAGCAAGGCTAGGTCAAATGAGTACTGTCTACAAGTTTGGGTGTTTTTGTGCAACTTTTCTATGTTGCAGTTTTTTAATGAGTCTTCCTCCAGCCCTGATGCTGCATTCTTTATCGTATAGTCCAACGTCTTGGATTATTTGCTCAACATATGGATTGAACACATACAGTGACAGACTACAATCCTGACGCACATTTCCCCTGTTTTAATCTAGGCAGTCTACCCTTACTCTGTTTGATAGACTGCCTCTTTGTCTATGTTCAGGTTCTTCATAGGCACAATTACGTTTTTGGAATTCCCATTCTTTACAATGTGAATCCATAATTTGTTATGATCTGCACAGTTTAGTGTCTTTGCATATTCCCTAAAACACAGACATCCTGCTGATATTCTCTACTTTTGCCAACATTAGCAGTGATATCCGTCATTCCATGTCTCTTCTGAGACCGACTTGAATCCCTGACATGTACTCACACACACTTATAAAAATTATTTTCAGCATAATTTTACTTACATGTGATATTAACTGTTTGAGAATTTCCGCATTCTGTTGGATCACCTTTCCTTGGAATGGGCACCATTCAGACGGATAACCAGCTAGCTGTATTCCAAATTTCATAGCATACGTGAGTGAGAACTTGCAGCACTGTATCTGTTTGTTCAGGCATCTCAGTTGACATTCCATCAAGTCCTAGAACCTTGTTTTTCATGAGTGCTGTCAGTGCATCTTGGACTTATTCCTTCAGTACAATTAGTTCTTCAGTGTATGCTACCTTTTGAAATGGTTGAATATCGACTGCTTATTTTTGGTATAGTGACTCTGTGTGTATCTCCTACCTTCTTTTGGTGCTTTCTGCATCATTCATTATTTTGCTCATAGAATCCTTAAATATTGCAAGTCAAGGCTTGAATTTTATTCTTCAGTTCTTTCAACTTGGGTAATGCTGAGCATATTTTTCCCTTTTTGTTTTCTAACTCCAGGTCTTTGCACACTTCGTTAATTATCAGTGTATCTTCACTGCATACTTGAACAGTTTGAGATTATAGGACTTGGTAAAAGTATTTAATTTCTTATTTTGGCATTAGTGGTTTATGGTATAAATTTAAATAACAGTTGAATTAACTGATCCTCCTTGTAGGTGTATGGATTTTATCCTATCACTGACATAGTTTAGGGCATTTTTGAGTGTTCTACCTGTGAGTTGAATTTATGCATTTTTCATTAGACTTTAGACATTGTCTCATTTTTAAAAAATAACTTTTTTACATTAAAAAATAAATTCTAATTTAAAAAAGTATGTAAAACCTAACAAAATAAAATATATCCACCCCAAACAAAGACTCTGGTGAGGTTGGTCTGGATGGGTTTGGGGTGTGTATTGTTGATGTTGTTGTTGTTAAGTGCCGTCAAGTCAGTTCCAACCCATAGCGATCCTGTATAGGATTTCCGAGGAGCAGCTGGTGAGATAGAACCATTAACCTTGTGGTTCAGAGTGACTTTGCAGTTCAGCGCATTAACCCACAGCGCCACACCAGGACTCCAGGGGTGTGTATACATGTGTTTTAACCTCTTAATATTTTTGCCCATATGAAAACTGCTGCTCCTCCAAGACATTTCTCATCTTGCTGCTCATGTTTATTTTAACAGCCCAAATGATTTGCGCTTTTATTACAAAGTACCGCCACGCTTCTTTTGGAAGTAGGAGGGGAAAGTGCTCACCCTGGGTGGTGATTATCATTTTCCATTATGCCTATTTGCCTGGGAGAGTTAATGAGCAGCATACAGTCAGAATTGGCTTCACTGCATTCATCATGAACAGAGAAACCACTGAGCATACATTATTTCTGAAATGAGCGGCTTGAAGATGAAAAAGATAAGCTCATCATTTTATAAAAGTATCAACAATGCTCATGCGTTTTTCTATTATTCTTTACTAAAATATTTTAGTCATAAGATTAAAATTTGAATTTTAGTTTCTGGTTTATTATATTTTTTTAACATCCTGATTATGGTGAATAAATGCCTTTTTAGTGCATAAGCATGGTTTGATCTTTTTGTTGTTGTTAAACTAATATGTTACAGCAAATAAACTAGTGCCACAAGATGACTGGAATTTTTCATTTTATGTAAATTTTCATCTTCATTAAATGCAAAGTAGTTATTAGGGTGTAAACAATTTTTCTAATATGAATTTCAAATACATACATTGCAAGAGCTATTTGAAAATGGTAGGGTTTTAAAGTATTTGGCTTTTCTAGTTTCTAAATAAGTGACATTAGCTCAAATAATTTTTGTTTATCTTCCCAAAGACCCAGTGAACAAAAATGAACTAAATTATATCAGTCAATTTCTAAAAAAACTGGGTTTTGTGGGAACTGATAGTATGAAAATGTTGACTTGTTGTTGAAGTGCCATTGATGAGTTGGTTCTGACTTTAGTGACCTTGTTTAAGGTTTCCAAAGAGTGGCTGGTGGGTTTGAACCAGCAGCCTTGTAGTTTGTAGTCCAGTGCTTACCCTACAGCACCATACCATTGTCAGCCTAACCAGGAATGGAGATGTTTCCTTAATCTCCTCATGTAATTTTCATCTGTATCGCTTATGACAAAGAAACAAATAGTTCTTTTAATATTTTATTCAGTTAAAATGGTCATTTCTTTTTAACCAAGGGACATGATGACTTTTGTCGGTGAAGAACCACAAGTAAATGATTCATTTTACTGTCATATTTTTCTGTTCACCAATAGAATTGTTATGTTAGTAACGTATCATGGTTCCACAGACTAATTAATGTATCATAATCATTAGGTATATTTGATATAAAAATTATTTCATGGTAGCTCTTTTCTTCATAGCACTATAAATACTTCATATTTCACATCATTAGAAATTTGCCAAGACATTTGCTTTAGAGACACTGATTATGATAAGACAGCCAAATGCCTAGCACTAAAATGTTTAATTTCTTTTTGTGTGCCAGTCTTTTCAAATGATTGTGGAGATAGTCTTTGGCTGTGAGAGTAAAAGAGGGAGTCTAGTTGAACTTTGAAGGAGCTCTAGTAGCTTAGGGGTACAAATTGGGCTGCTAATCTCAAGGTCAACAGTTTGAAACTACCAGCTATTTATTATGTGGGATGAAGATGAGGCTTTCTGCTCCTGTAAAGATTTACAGCCTCGGAAACCCTCTACAGGGTTGCTATGAGTTGGAACCGACTCCACGGCACATCACCATCACCATCACCACCACCAGTTGAACGTTGAACGAGTCCATCCAGTTCCAGGACTGGGGCAGTATAATAGTCAGGAGAGAGGCGCACAGAATCCTACAAGTGCTCAGGTGCTCAGTCAGGTCTTAATTTCAACAGTCTTCAGATTGCCAGAGTGTTGAATTAACTGGTCCTCCTTGTAGGTGTATGGATTTTAACATAGTTTTGTTAAAATAGGCTCTCCTTAAAAGTATGTTCTCCAACTCCCATAATACCCTCATAGCGGTAGTGGTGTGGTAGCTATGTGCTGGGAAGTCGGTTCCGACTCATAGCAACCCTGTACAGGGTTTCCAAGGCTGTAAATCTTTACAGACACAGAAAGCCTCATCTTTCTCCCAAAGAGCAGTTGGTAGATTTGAACTGTTGACCTTGTGGTTAGCAGCCCACTGTGTAACTCAGCTACCAGGCCTCCTTCCCTTGTAATAGCAATCTTAATTTTTAAAATATTATACTTTGTATACATTCAATTTTGCCAATATATCTTCTTTCTCTTTTTTAAAACAGAAATCTTAGAAGCTGGAATTAAAGGAACTTCAGAATCACTTAAAGGTGTGAAACGGAAAAAGATTGTAACTGAGAACCACCTGAAAAAAATACCAAAATCCCCCCTGAGAAATCCGCTTCAGGCAAAACATAAACAAAATATCGAGGAACCATCTTTCACAGTTCTTCAGACTGCTTCCGAGTCTCACAAAAAACGGAACCATGTTCCTATAAAAAATGGGAAGCAATTCGCTAAACAGAATGGAGAAACACCCGGAATAATTGCCGAGGACTCTAAATCTGAAGAACCCATTTCCCCAAAGAAGCCCTTGTTTGTGCAACATCCATCTGAACTGCGCAGATGGAGGTCAGAAGGTGCCGCTCCCACCAAGTTAAACGTGCTAGACGGAAAAGGTGACCCTAGTTCCTTGTCAAGTGAACCCAGAACTGACAGTAGTGAATGTATGTCTTCTAATTGTCGTACTACTTCCTCCTCACATACAAACACCGCATTTGATGTCTTATTGAAAGCAATGGAGCCAGAACTGAGCACCTTGTCACAAAAGGGCTCATCTTGTACAATTAAGAGAGACAAACTGAGACCAAATAAAACTGTACACTCACCCACTAAATTAAAAAGCAGTCCAGCAGATGCCCCAGCTCAGATTTCACCAGAATTTGTCACTGAAGCGCAGTCCTCTCCTTGTACCTCATACACAGTGCATGTGCCTGCTGTTCAGAAGAATGAGCCAGCAGCAGTACAGCCACTTTCTCATCCATATAACCCACAGCAACACTTGGTTTCTAAAGCTTCCCAACCCGATCAGCAGCCTCCAGGGTGTCCCGGTCTCACAAGATCACTGACGAACCTGCCCACTCAAGAGACCGCCAAACTTGACCAGGTTTATAACCTAGCAGTACAGTCATCGTTAGGTCTGACTTCACCTTCCAGTAGAACTCAGGTTATTCCTCCAAACCAGCAAATGGATTCTGCTCTCCCCATGTCAATAAGTCTAACAAATTCCACACCGTCTCCCTCCACACCAGTGTATAATTCAACTCCTGTTGCCTCTGTTGTTAATCACAGTGTAGAGCAAATGTGCAGTCTTCTTCTGAAAGATCAGAAGCCGAAAAAGCAAGGCAAATATATCTGCGAGTACTGCAACCGAGCCTGCGCAAAGCCTAGTGTGCTTTTAAAGCATATCCGCTCCCACACAGGAGAGCGACCCTATCCTTGCGTAACTTGTGGGTTTTCATTTAAGACTAAAAGTAACCTGTATAAGCACAAAAAATCTCATGCACATACTATCAAACTGGGGCTTGTCTTACAACCAGATACGGGTGGCTTGTTCGTTTCACATGAGTCCCCCAAAGCACTTGGAGTCCACTCAGACGTAGAAGACAGTGGAGAGAGTGACGATGAGGGCACTACTGAGGAAAGACACAATCACCCAGGCCCCATGGAACTGCAGGGTGTGCAAATCCTGAAAATGGTGTCCGACTCTGAAGCCGCCACAAAGTCAAGTTCCATTCCAGGCAATCCTGCTCGGGTGGCAGATGACTTTTCACGGCAGGAAAAATCTTCCGAATCACAAACTACAACTGAGCTTCCAAAAGTCGTGGTCCACCCTGTCAATGTGTCCCCTTTAAGAACTGACAGTCCAAAGGTGACAGATTCCATGCCTGAACTTTGCAATGCACAGAAGCAAAGAGACCTCCAAGTGAGAAAGGTAATACCGAACTCAGCATGCATGTCCTCCCTGGACACAGATGAGAAGGCCCCAAAGCAAAGGGACGTGAGTCAGTCAGAAGGTAAACAGGAACCTCATGGCGGAACAGTGCATGCCCAGCTACAAAGGCAGCAAGCTACTGATTACTCCCAAGAGCAACAAGGGAAACTTCTGAGCCCTCGAAGTTTAGGAAGTACAGATTCTGGTTACTTCTCCCGTTCTGAAAGTGCCGATCAAACAGTGAGTCCACCAACCCCCTTTGCCAGAACGTTACCCACCACTGAACAAGACCCAAATAAGAATAATGGGTCATCTGCATCTCGCATCAATACACTCTCTCCTGCTTTACCGATAGGTGAGAAAGCATTGCTTTTACCAGGCCAGATGCGTCCACCTCTGGCAACAAAGACTCTTGAAGAACGCATATCAAAGCTTATCTCAGACAATGAAGCCCTGGTTGATGATAAGCAGCTGGATAGTGTAAAACCAAGGAGAACGTCTCTTTCAAGACGAGGAAGTATCGATTCCCCCAAATCATACATATTTAAAGATTCTTTCCAGTTTGATTTAAAGCCAATGGGACGGAGAACAAGCTCAAGCTCAGATATACCAAAGTCTCCTTTCACCCCAACTGAGAAATCAAAACAAGTTTTCCTTCTGTCTGTACCTTCCCTTGACTGTTTGCCTATTACTAGAAGTAACTCCATGCCTACCACAGGTTATTCTGCAGTACCTGCAAATATAATACCTCCCCCTCATCCACTAAGAGGAAGTCAGTCATTTGATGACAAAATTGGCTCTTTCTATGATGATGTCTTTGTATCGGGACCCAACACTTCCATGCCCCACAGTGGACATCCCCGTACACTTGTCAGACAAGGAGCAATAGAAGACTCATCAACAAACGAGAATCCCATGCTTGGTATCGGCCAGTCTGTAGACGAAAATTATCCAGGATGTAATGCCTCCAGTGAAACTGGGTCAGTGAGGAACAAGGCACTGGCACAAGTGTCAAATTTGGAGAAAAAAAAATCCCACCAGGGAAGAGGAACAATGTTTGAGTGTGAAACCTGTCGAAACAGGTATCGAAAACTAGAAAATTTTGAAAACCATAAGAAATTTTACTGTTCAGAGTTACACGGACCAAAAACAAAGGTAGCTGTAAGAGAACCGGAACACAGCCCGGTGCCCAGCAGTACACAGCCTCAGATTCTGCACTACAAAGTGGCCACCTCCACGGGTGTCTGGGAACAGACTCCCCAGATAAGGAAAAGGAGGAAGATGAAAAGTGTTGGTGATGACGATGAGCTTCAGCCAAATGAAAGTGTAATTTCCCCCAAAACCTCAGAAGGTCCTCAGCTGCAGAATCCTCTGGGCTCTAGCTCCAATTTGTCCAAACATAATGTTACCATAGCAAGTGACCAGCAGCAGAGAACCCTCCAGTTGCAGAGCTCACAAATTCAGCTTGTTGCCAGGGGCACCGACCAAACCATTGATCCAAAGCTGGCTACCATTGTAGAGCAACAGATAAGTTCAATTGCCCAGGAAAAGATCGAGTTGAAGAGGCACGGCACTGGAATCTCAGTCATACAGCATACAAATTCTCTGAGCAGACCCAATTCATTTGACAAGCTTGAGCCTTTTGAAAGAGGTTCCCCTGTCTCCTTTCAGGAGCTGAGTAGGACCATGAAAGCTGGATGTCTGAAAGCAGTGGGAGTTTCTCCTGAGGAAGGCGGCCTCCCTTCTTCTCAGAACATCTATCAGCCAGCATTAGCAGACACTCTTAGAGGAGAACTTACAGAAAGCTCAAGAAAGATTTCAAATGAAAGGAATGTGTTAGGACCACCCTCAAGACTCGTCCGACAGCACAATATCCAAGTCCCAGAAATTCTGGTCACGGAAGAGCCAGATCAGGACTCGGAATCCCAAGGCCATGAACAAGAAAAATCAGAAAAGTTCAGTTGGCCTCAGCGTAGTGAAACTTTGTCAAAATTGCCGACAGAGAAACTTCCGCCAAAAAAGAAACGGCTTCGTCTGGCTGAAATTGAGCATTCCTCAACAGAGTCAAGTTTTGATTCTACTCTGTCCAGGAGTCTAAGTAGAGAGAGTAGTTTATCACATACCTCAAGTTTCTCAGCATCACTAGACATCGAGGACATTTCTAAAACGGAGTCTTCCCCCAAAATCGATTTTCTAAATAAAGCAGAGTTTTTGGTGATTCCAGCTGCCTCAAACACGCTTAATGTTCCTGGAACTCACCAGGAAATGAGACGGGCTGCATCAGAACAGATTAATTGCATGCAGACATCGATGGAGATCTCTGATTGCAGAAGCAAATCATTTGACGGTGGCAGCATGACTCCATCCCAGGCAGTATCACTGGTTGACCTGCAACCTCCACCATCTCCGTCTGGTGTGGGGGTTACCAGGCACGTGCCCCTCTTAGAGAGAAGAAGAGGCCCATTGATACGGCAGATATCTTTAAATATTGCACCAGATGGTCTTGTGCCTCCCATGAACCCATCTTCTTTCCAAAGTATTGCTCCTCTAGCCGTGAACTCAGTGCCATTCCAGGGGCCTCAGATCACTAAGCCATCAGTAGGTGAATTTTCTGTGAATGCTTTGCATCTCCCGACAAAAGTCAAGACTCTACAAACAGACACTTCAGTGTCCAACTCAGCTAACGTTTTTCCTGTTCAACAGCTTTTTGGTCTCAATTTGTTAAATCAAATCCATACACTTCCTAACAACCAAAATGCACAGATGGCTCTGCAAGTAGCCACACAGGTGGACAAACCCACTATAAGTCCCACCTTGTGTGCATCTTCTCAAAGTGAGGATTGCTTTGCTCCCAAGTACCAACTTCAGTTTCCGGTTTTAACTTCAAGCCAGTCTTACTCTTCGAATCCCATACATTCTTTGCCAAATCAAGCTCTTTCATCTGAAACTGGTGCAGACCAATGTGTGACTTCGTTAGCGTTACCAACCAAATCGGCAGATAACGTGTCAGATTCATGTGCCCTGCCACCACCAAAGCTTGGGTCACTTGGCGTTGAGGTACAGAAGGCTTCATCATCATTCATGGTGCCCATGCATCTGCAGAGTAACGTCTCAGCCTACTGTTTCCCTACTGTCACATCACTGCCACAAATTCTGGTGACCCAGGATTTGTCAAGTCAGCCAATTTGCCAGGCTAATACTGCTATAGTGCCAGTCAGCAAAGAACAAAATTCCGTGCCAAATTTGAATAAAGATCACCAGAACACTTTGCCAAACCCAGAGAAAGAACTTGTTTGCGAAAATGTTTTTGCAGAGCTATGCCCAAAGTCTTCTCTATCGGAATCCTTGCCTGCAACTCAAAAAATGTGTATTGGCAGACTTTCCCCTCAACCAGAATCATCAGCTTCAAGTAAAAGGATGCTTTCCCCAGCAAATAGTTTAGACATCGCCATGGAAAAGCACCAGAAGCGGGCGAAAGATGAAAATGGAGCTGTTTGCACGACAGATATTGAGCCATTGGAGTCAGTGAGCTCAAGAGCTAATGAAGTTAATAAGCAGAAGAAACCTGTCCTAGTGAGGCAGGTGTGTACTACAGAGCCCCTTGAAGGTGCGGTACTGGAGCAGAATGCTGTCTCCCAGTCTGGAATTAACAGTGAGCCGACTCGGTCAGCAGGTGTTTTATCAACTGATCCTTCTCCATCAGGCCTCCCCTCTAAGTCTGGAGCTACAGAATCTGTCAGTGAATTGCAAGAATTTGAAAACATCAAACCCTCCACATCGCTAAACCTTGCAGTTAGAAATTCACATGTTCCTTCAGAAAAGACTCAAATTTCCCCTTTGAAAAGTCTAGACAATAACGAAGGAAGGAATGCTCCCACAATGCTGAAGAGTCTAGGTGGCAATATTCAGGCAGTCAGATCAGCAAGCGCTCTTTCGATGTTTCATCCAGGCTACTCACAACAACAGTCTTTTCCTAGTAAGACTACCACAAGCTTTACGTGGTGCTACCTCCTAAAGCAGAAGTCATTGCCTTTGCCTCAGAAGGACCAGAAAACGTCAGCATATACTGATTGGACAGTTAGCTCCAATAATCCGAATCCACTTGGTTTGCCTACAAAAGTGGCTCTTTCTCTCCTCAATTCAAAACAGAAGACTGGAAAGTCATTATACTGTCAAGCAATAGCCACTCATTCCAAATTAGATCTATTGGTCTACTCAAGCAAGTGGAAAAGCAACTTAAGCAAGGTACTTAAATTATAATCTACCTTCAGATATCATTTGTGCACATGAGTTTCAGCATGTCTTGATACTGTCTAACTATTTTAATTGGAAATACAATTTTAGTTTTGAATGGGAAGTTAAGCTTGTGTGTGGTGACTTGAGAGAAAGGGTGATATGTTTCCCTCCAGGTGTTGCAATGATGAAGGTTACCTTTATCCTTTTCAGTGTTTCTGTCTTGAAGCATTTTCTAATTGATTGTTTGCCTTGAGCACTTGCTCTGGTTTTTTTTTTTTGGGTTTTTTTTTTCTCAGCTGAGTACAGTGTTTACTTACATATACAGATAAGTCTTATTTTACTTTGATCTTTCTCTTACTCTAAGGCTTTGTTGTTATTATTAAGTGAGCAGAGATGGTGTTTATGCATTGCCCTCCTAATGCAGTAAAAGAGAGATGTGGATTATCAGACTGGTTGGTATATTTCATTTTGAACTATATTTGGAGAGTCATTCATCCTTGTCTTACGATGACACTCTCGTCCCTGATTCTATCCTGACCCAGTGAAGCCTGACCACTCTCTCCCCTCCCCATGCTGGCCTCAGATGCCTTCCAAGATAGCTCTGAAAGCCATCTTAACACAAATGGGCCAGTTCTCAAAATAGCCAAGTAAGTCATGCACTTGATAGCCTAGTTGGTTTGTACTAGGCTTACAAGATCATGAAACATGACTTTTGGGTAGTTTGTGGAACCAGTTCCATTACAGTTGTTGTCTTTACAAAATAGAGAAAAATCATTTAAGAAATAAGTAAATGAAGTGTGTCATGTTAGTTTTGAGGCATTTGGAATAACAGATTAAATGCATATAATACTGGTCTGTAGGTGTAAGTATTTCTATTATAATAGTATCAGTATTATAGGAGGAGTAAGTATAATTGTAAAAACAAACAAGTCTCTACCTCAGCTGATAGGAAATACAGACACAAGGAAGACACTGAAAAATCAATGAGGGAAACAAATATAAAAAATTAATCTATTGAATGATTGAATGGTGTTGCATGCAAGAAAGAACTTGGTTCATTAAAAGAGCTAAAAAGATTCCCATATGGTTAGAGAGTCCTCGTGTTTGGAGCAGTAGCTACTTGGAAGTTGCTAAGTCAGTAAAGACAAAAGTGTATACCAGACGGTGGAGAGCCAGTGATAATTTTTCAGGGAAACAGCACATCCAAATCCTTTGTCTACTAAGTCAGAGTCTTGAAAGGACTGTGACCTGATGATGAAGATTTTAGTAAAGGCCCGTGTATATTACTGAAGTACCTCTGAAAAGTAGGTCTCCTAAAGTACTCATGTAGAGATGTCGAGAAATGCACATCTGGATGTGGCGCTCAGGAGAAAGCTCAGGCAGGAAGTTTAGAGTCTTCAGTTCTGGGCAAGTGGATAGAAGCAGCAGCGAAGATGGCCAGGAAGCATCCCAGGGAACCACTAGTATTTAAAAGGTTGAATAAAGAGCATCCACGTGGGAAACTGAGAGACCATTCATAGTGCAAAGAGAAGCAGGAAAGAATGGTATTGTAGAAATCAAGCAAAGAGAGGTCAGTAGAAGTTGAGGACTAATCGGAGTCTCGAGATTGAGCTACCTTCTCCAATAACTCAGGAATTTCTGGGGGCGTGTAAGTGGCTAACATGCTTGGCCATTAATTGTAAAAGGCGGGAGGGTCGAGTCTACCCAGAGTTACCTCAGAAGAAAGACCTAAAAATCTATTTCCAAAAATCATCAGTCATTGAAAGCCAGCCCCATGGATCGCTGGCAACAGGTTAAATGTCTCTGGTGACTTCAGCCTGTGGGGAAGTGGTGGTGAGGGAGGATTATGCACTGGGTTGCACCCCCCCCTCCACTTCCAAATAGTAATGTGTCTGTGATTCCAATGGAAAAATGGAAGTAGATACCTAAAGAAAAAAATGTTTCTATGAGAAGCAAGACCATTGGTAACATATAGTGCCATAGAGTCGTCACACACAGAAAAACCAAAGAAATATTCGTGGTTTGGGAATTTTGCCCCCTGGTGACTTTGGTGAATAGAAACCAAACAACAGGAAACTACCATGGAAATTGGAGAGTAAAAAACTGAACAAAAAATAGAATTTTAGTATTGAAAAGAAGGAGAGTTGCTGAAGGAATCAAGTCATGGAATGGTGTGTGTATATTGCAAAATGTAGGAGAGGACTGACCTATTTGCCCAGAAAAGAAAAGGGAAGGTTGCATATTGTTTCAGCTTTAGGCAGCATCAGTGTTGTTACTTCTAAATGCCAGCAGCTTCTCTTTGCCCCTGTCTTTGTAAGGACTGGGGCTCCTGGGCATCCTTTTCTCTTAGTTACGTAGCCCCTTACCCATTGTGCACACATTCAGCACTTCCTGTATTAGTGAGTCCTCTGAATAAAGTTAACTAACTGCATTCTTTTTTAAAAGGAGTTTTGTATCAAAAAAATCCCTTGACCAGAAAGTTTTGTCTTGTGGTGGGCTCAACTGAAGACTTGTGTTTGAGCTTTTGCTGTTAACACTTGGCCTTTTGGCAAGTCACTTAACCCTTAGAGTGTGCTTACCTCTGGAACAGAATCCATCCAGGAGAATGCAACGGCATCGTGAATGGGAAAATCTGTTGTTAACTGTGTGACTGTATGCAGTTGGCAGGTGGTGGTGCCCTGGTTCTCTAGGAAAAGCACCTCTTACTTGTCAGTGTGACAAGTGTGCACTGCCTTTTTCCAGCGATCTAATGATCAGGTCAGAAGTTTTGACGTGACCTGGGTCTCGGAATTGTCAGAATTTAGAAACTGTAGAGACGACAGGAACCCCTGGGTAGTGCAGGTGGTCAGTTGCTTGACTACGAACTGAAAGGTTGGAGGTTTGAGTCCACCTGTAAGTAGTACCTCAGCATTCCGGCCTCTGAGAAGGTGTTCTGCTTCTCAAAGGTCACGACCTTGAAAACTCTGTGCTAAGCAGTTATACTTTGGCACACATGGAGTACTTGTTGCTGTTTTCAGAAACTATAAAGGGTGGGGGGAGGACCATGTTATGATTTAAAATGATGGGGGAGCAAAGAGGATAGACCAGTTGGGGTATTGGATTTCTGATTGTACTTGACAGTGCACTTAAAGCTGAAGAAGGTTTAGTCATGCTCTTTAGGGATATGCAACAGTTTACCAAAAGGGATAGCTAGCTCTTTTATCTTTCCAAAGAATAGCAGTGGGAGTGGCTGTTTAGCTACAAGAAAAGAACACTTAGTTGGTTTCTAACAGTTTCTGTTAAACTCTTGTGTTAATACCAAGGTGTAACAGGTTATAAAGTTTTTATTTGAGGGAGGCAGTGTGGAGTGTGGATATTGAAATAGCATTGAATATATCAGTTTGCCCTAGATTGGTTTAGATAGATATTGTCAAAAGGAGCAGAGAAAGCAAATGACGGTTAAACCTGTTACTTTGAAATGTGTTTCATTAAATAATTATATAGAGGGAACTCTGCCTTGTTTTAATTTTGAGTGAAACATTAGCATGTTCGTGTTTTCAGTTTTATTAAATTAGTTTCTCTGTTTGTTTGTTTGTTTGTTTTCCTTCCAGAGAGCATTAGGTAATCAAAAGCCCACAGTAGGTGAATTCAGCAATAAAGATGTCTCTGAAATTAACAGTGAGCAAGATAAAGAAAATTCCTTAATCAAAAGTGAACCAAGAAGAATTAAAATATTTGATGGAGGGCAAGTACAAATTTTACTTCTTAAATGTACATTTAAACTTCTACTTTTTAAATGTACATTGGCTTTTGTGTAAACGAAGACGTATTGGTACCAATCTTACATAAGTGTTGTGAGGTTTCTCGTGTTATTAACAGAGTTTTCATGCAAATTAAGGAGCCCTGGTAACTTAACAGTTACAGTGCTCTGCTGCTGACTGGTAGGTTGATGGTTGGAATGGACCCAGTGGCTCCGTGGGAGGGAGAAAGACATGACAATTTACTTCCATAAAAATCACAGCCTGGAAAACCTGATGGGGTGGAGTTGGGAGGTTGGTTGGGGCGGCAGTTGTACTGTCACACGGGGTCACTGTGAGTTGAGATCAACTTGAAAACACAACATTTAACAGCAACTACATGCTAAAATATCTGTTAGCTTTATGTAGAAGAATTCCATTTTCTTCTGGAGAAAATAATGAGTACTTAGGAAAACTTGTAGGACTCTGCAGGCAACTAAGAATGAAGTTTTCAGAAAATGCTTGGGTTCTGCAGCCTTTGACAGTAAGGAATGACTTGGAAACGCTGTCCTGGGGGAGACGGACCATTTGCCTACTTGATGTCTTTGTGGGCTTTGTTATGTGAAAAGCAAACTGTTTATGCCAATTTTAGCTATAGTGAAGCTCAGAAATATTTTTAAACTGATAGTTGTAATTATATTTAATAATAAAGAAAACTTTCAAACTAGTTTCTGGAAATGGGAAGATATTTTATAATTTAAAATAGCATTTAATAAGGCTGTTTGATTAGACTCTGTTGATTTGGTTAGGAAGCTATGCTATTCTGTTACATATGCATAAAATTTCAATTGCCTGAAAATAAAAGTTGTGTCATGTTCTATTTATTTTTAGGTTGAAATTTTAATCTTCAATATTTTCTTAAACATGTGTAGTGTTCAATCCCCACTGTTAAATCTCCAATTTAATCTTTGTGTTTAAATTAGATATAAATCAAATGAAGAATATGTATATGTCCGAGGCAGGGGAAGAGGAAAGTACATTTGTGAAGAATGTGGAATACGTTGTAAGAAACCAAGCATGTTAAAGAAACACATACGAACCCATACTGATGTCCGCCCCTACCACTGCACTTACTGTAACTTCTCCTTTAAAACAAAAGGTATGAGATGCACATTGCTTCCCAGCCCTTCTTACACATTTGGTTTTTAAAGCTTAGCCCAACTCCGTGTCCTTGGGAGTCCTGGTGTGGCACTGTGGGTTAATGCGCAGGACTGCAAGGTCAGTTTGAACTACAAGGTCAGCAGTTCAAGCTCACCAGCCTCTCCTCAGAAACTCCATACAGGGTCACTGTGGTTATGAAATGCCTCTTGCTTCTCAGTCCTTTTTATGCATTTTGTTGGTAAAGCTAAAGCTCAGCTTCAGGTTTTGGTTACGATTTGACCAAGGATGCAGTAACTTAGACTACTGCAAATTGCTTCTTGCTAACATTGTAGTCTCTATTTTCTTTATTTCTAGATTCTTGGAAGAAGGCATTTAATGACATATTTTTGGAATATATTTATAACATTTTTTTTTTCCTTAATTGTGAATTGGGTGAAGGTTAATAGAGCAGGCCAGTTTTCCATTCAAGGATTCCTGCAGTTTTTGTTTATAGCATTTTTAAAGAAGTAGCTGCTCTTTTTTGTTACTGTTTTTTATAAAAAACTTCCCAAATTACAGTTGCACAACGTGATAACTAATGCATTTTCAAAAATTCTTTTAACAACAAAAAGATAATGAAATTTTCATAGTCACAAATAATTCATTTGAGTTCTAACAGATTGAAGGAAGAGTTTGAAAAGTAATCACCACAGTAAGCTTTTTAAGTGGCTATACTTGTATTTTGTTACCCTAAATTTAGGCATGTATAGCTCTTTTTTCGCCATAATGTGTCTTTCTACTCAAATATTTTTGAATTTCAGTTAAAAATTTTTTCTAAATTTTATGTGTAACTTTCCTAAAGAAAATTCAGAGCTAGTCAGTAAAATTATATTTTATGCTCTTTATGATTTTAAAAAGGAGCTCTGGTAGCGTAGTGGTTACGAATCAGGCTGTGAACCTCAAGGTCAGCAGTTCGAAATTACCAGCCGCTCCATGGGAGAAAGATGAGGCTTTCTACTCCCATAAAGATTTACAGCTTCAGAAACCCTGTACAGGGTTACTATGGGTCAGAACCGACTCGACGGCACGTAACAACAACACGATTTTTAAGAAGACATTCTTTTTTTACTTAACTTGTAAGCCTTTATTATGGTTGTGGAAATTTTGCTATGTACACATTTCCTGTTTCATATAATAGCTAGTCTGCTACAAAACGTTTGCTTTCTCTCTTAGACTCCTTGCTCAGAGATGGTAATAATAACAATTTGTCACCTGGGATTTTAATCTCATATCCTAGCCTTAAAAAAGTAAGAATGTTTCTAGAGACAAAGCAATATAATACTCGTAATGAAATCATCTATCTGGAAGGACCATCAGTAAATGTATATCATCAATCATTTTTTGACAGTAACTTTTAACATTTTTGCCAGTTTTGAGTTATCATTTACCTTTTTTTAGAACTATATTGGTTGTCTTTGCAGTGTTTGTTTTAAAGATTGATCAGCATTTTAGTAAAATACATACTTTTTTTTTTGCTAGTTATTTAACATTTTATTGCTTTTAATGGCATGTAAAGTTACAATGTAAAACAACTAAATAGCTTCAAATTTGTTATCCTTAAATGCTACTCAAGAACTATCCTTGTAAACGCTCTAATAAGAATGATGGGAAGACAAGATGGTGTTCAGGTAGCCTTTACTATAGGGTTGTTTGTTTGTTTGTTTTATTGTGACAGACTCTCCTTCCAGAGATGGAAGGTAGGTTTCCAAAGCATCTTCCTGGTCCCGAATGAGGGCTTTTGGTATGATGAAGTATTTTGATCTGTTAGCCCAATGTATTACTTTTTACCCAATGTATTACTTTTTTACTGGTTGTGACCCAGTTAAGAATTTTCTATAAATTACCAGTATGAGACCAGGAATATTTAATGATCCCAATGTTGTTAATAAATGATCACCAGGTTCAAAATGATGATACCACATAAAAGATTAAGACTTAATGGAGGAAAAGACAAAAATAGTATTAATAAAAGGAAGAAAAACTAAATGAAACTACAGCCATTTCTTGGCAAGCAAAAAGTATTATGGATCAATCTCCAAGTATTAAAGGAGTCCCTGTGTGGCATTGTAGGATAAGCAGTGGACCACTTAACCATAAGGTCAGCAGTTCAAATCCATGTACAGGATCACTAAGAGTTGGAACCCACTCGACAGTACTTAATTAAGTATTAATGTTACTGAAATAAAACAAGATCATATAAAATTTTAGTAAATACTAAATTATCAACCAAATCAGAAAACCAAACCTATAGCCATCAAGATATACATTAATTGTTTTCATGTATTATATTGAATTTTCTGATATACTGCATATCTTGATTCACACCAATTTTTGTTGTTGTTTGTCAGATAATTCATGTGGGGTTATATGATAAATACTTATTTAAAGGCAACTACTTTGCTAAGGATTCCTGGTGTGGCACTGTGGGTTAATGTGCCAGACTGTAAAGCCATTTGAACTGCAAGGTTGGCAGTTCAAGCTCACCAGCTGCTCTTAGGAAACCCTGTATTAGGGTCACTATGGATCGGAATCGACTCAACAGCACTTAACGACAACAATTTTAGCTAATGAGACTGGAGAAGAAAATATTAGAAATGCATTATTTTCCTATTTTTTAGCCTGATGGTTGTCAGCTTCCTATTAGAAGTCTACTTTTTATGAAAAATATGTGTAAAATGGGTTCCATAGCACATTTTCAAAAAACAAGAATGGACCTGTTTTCTGGAGGATATAGTAAGAGTTTGCCTTGCTATGATTTACTTAAAGAGAAAGAAAGAATCTTGATCAGAAACCCTTTACAAGGGTCACTATGAGTCAGAACTGACTCAATGACACTTACCAGCCACAACAGCACAGCACAGAAAGCTAGACTCTGTGTAGCTTTAGGAATCACAATCCTATCGAATGTTGTCTAGTGGAGTTAAGTAAATGTTTATGATATCCATGTAAAAATTTATTAAATCAGCACAGTTTATAGCATTTTAGAGGATATTTGCGTTTTTAAGGCATGCATATTTAAAATGGAAATGAGTTTGTTGGTGTTAAATTATATAGAGGGTTGATCAGTAGCAAGAAATAACTCAAGTTTTGAGAGTATATGCTTATTGAAAACTTGAGTTTCCAAATTTGTTATAATTTTACAGTAACATCTTAGAAAACAACCTTCTATAACTGCTTATGTAAGGAACAAAGCATTTCGAAAGAGCAGTATTTGTGGAATTTGTAATTTGATTTGTAATATTGTTACCATATTGAAAACATTTGTACTTATAGATGAGAAATTTTAGCCACATTAGGATATGAACTGTTTATAATTTTTAATACAAAAATTTTAAAGCGTATGTGAAGATTTACATGTCCCATCACCCAATATGTCTGCCCATCATCTTTTAATAATTTTTAATATCTTGCCAGGTTTTATTTTATAAGGTATATTTAAAGTGAATTTCAGATATGGCCAAACCGTGTAAGCCAGGTGCTCTTGCCAGCGGTTGGCTAGCTCTGGTCCAGCCATGCTCCGGAAGCTGGGCTATGGGTTCACAGCCACCCTAGTACAAGAGTGAACTTGTGCAAATGTGACCAGGTCCACTAAATGCATTTTTATAGCATTTTACAGAATTAAGGCTTATAAATAGAGCAGTTTTACAAGATCTTTCAGCACTGAAAACCCCAAATCTGGAGCAATGACTGAAATTTGTTAGCTCTTCTAAAAGCATATCCTCAAATACTTATTAGATGTAGTATTCAGGTTTTATTTGTTTTTTAAAAAAAATAATAATTTGCCCATGTCAGTGTTACCCACTCAAGCTGATTGGTACCCCCAAAAGAATCCGAGAGCTCCCATGCATTGTTTCCTGGTTAACCTCCTAAGACTCACAGAGATAGCTACCCCCAGCTGCCAGAGGAAACATACCGTTAGAGATTTTATTATGAGACTGATAGTCAACATCGTCCTGAAATCTCTGCAGGCATTTCCTTCTTCTACCCTACATATAAAGAAATATAGTTTCTAATACAACAACCAGAAGTTGTCTTTAAGAGATAGCCAAACCTCAGAATTAAGAAAGGTAAATCCTCAGGTATTCGAAATAAAGAAATGCAAAGCTAACACAGTGAGCAGATACTCCCCTCTCTATCTCTCTTCTCCAAAGTCCATATGAGAATCAGAGCCTGGAAGTTTAGTGTTTGTCCTGGGAGCGATCCCTGACTCTCCTGTCCTGTGACCCTGAGCCATGTGGGCAAATGTTAATATGCTAAAAAACAAAGCCCTATACCTGTGTCATTGCCGTTCAGAATTAGTGGTCTGAAATCCTTAGGTGTCAGACAGAAACAATTGCAAGCTATCCTATAGATAATGCTTTTGCAACCTACAGTACTCAAAACTCCGTAGAAAACAAACTTAACTAGAGATAAGCTTACAATGAAAATCTCAAAAAGAAAGCATGCAAGGAAACTACTGCTAAGAGTGGAAGCCAGCAGATACAACAAATGGTGAATTCATAGCCTAAGAATTAAATAAGGAATAGAGAATGAAAATCAAGAGACAGAAGTCACATTATCAAAATAGAGAGGGACAATTTGAAAGATAAATTATTATAAATAAATAACAAGGTTATTACAACATAGAGTTAGTATTTGCTTTTCAGCATTTGAGTCATTGGAATTGTGTAACTGCAGTCTGTTTTTTTGTTTTGTTTTTACTTGAAGTAGGAATGGAATTTGCCATTGTTGACAAATGCAATAATGAAATAATACTATGTAAACTTAGTAAACATACTTTTCTCTTAAGGAAATCTGACAAAACACATGAAGTCCAAGGCACATAGCAAGAAATGTGTGGATTTAGGTGTCTCAGTGGGTTTAATAGATGAACAAGATACAGAAGAATCAGGTAAGGCTTTATCCATGTTTTCCATAAATGCTGTTAACGGTGTACTAGGTTTTTGGTTTTCTTTTTTACATCTATGCTCTTCATGCCATTTCCACCAATGCTTCTAGCTTTATTGTCATTCCTGTGCACTACACTTCCCATCAGTCTTCCCATCAGTAGCATCTCTTCCTGTCCACCTGTTCCACGGATGGTAACTTAATCTCCAGAGGCATGCAGCTCGCCTTATTCCTCCTCTGCTCAAACCCTGCACTAGTTGCTATTTCCTGACCAAATAATACATGAACCACTTGACTGGACTCCTTTGTTAATCTCAGGCCTTCCTCCAGCTTCCTCCTCATTTCCCCTTTTGTTCCTCCACCTCCCACATTCTTGAATTTCCTGTGGCATGGCACTGCTTTGGCTCCCTTAGTCCCCTGCCCTCACTCCCTTTCCTAACCTGCACTCTTTCACAGCTTCCCTTTCCTTAGAGACCTAGCTCAGACCCATCTGATTTCTCCTTCCCACTCCAGTTACTAGAAGCAACCTTTCCCTTCTTTGAACTCCCCTGGTATTTTAGATTTTCTTCTAAAAGAGACTGAAGGGATTCAGTCTCTTCCTACCTTATTTTGTATGTGCGTGCCTGTTTGACATGCTCATCATGGAGAGTCTTAGACAGAACTGCTCTCTGCCTCCCCACTTACCCACCCCCTCCCCAGCGCATATTACAGCACCTTGCGCATGGCAGCTACTCTGTTAGTATTTGTGGAATGAAGCATGTGTTTGCTATCCCCAAACATTTATTATTTTGATAAAGTTAACCGGTCTTGTTGTTTTTTAACAGTATTAACTGAACAAAGAAAAAAATATTTATATCTAACTAGTTTTGAGGGAAAATAAACCTACTTATTCTGACTAACCAGAGAATGGAAATATACAAAGGAGATCCTTTTAAAAGGGACAGGGGGCCCTACTGCTTAAAAAAGAGATTTTCTGATTTAAATGCTTACCTATACTGTGTTTTACTTGCTGTGCATTATTTTGGTATAGAAAACATTTCCAAAAAGAAAATGGTGAGGACGTCATTAAAAACAGAAAAAAATCAAATGCATGGACTCTCCCCTGACAGGCGTAGCACACTAAAAGAATGTCAACGTAAATCGTAATATGTCAGAGCAGTGACTCACAGCGGAAGTGCACAGTTGATATAAGCCAGTATTGGAAGCACAAGGAAAGACTGCTTTTAACCCTTTTGGGGGAGGAAACATATTCTTAATAGGAGGAAAAGAGAGTTCCATCCTAACTACAAATGTAGGAAACTGGGAGCTTGCTTTTTGCTTTTAATAAACTCTGTAGTGCTATGATAGTCACTGGGGAGGGGAGTAACAAGATTTAAAAGTGCCTGTCACCCTAATATTTAAAATTTTATTTGTCCAGAAAACATATTAAAATCTGAGATTTAGATTACTTAGGGATTCTGTTTTGTGCCTGTGTCTTTGTTTAAAGACATGGAAACATTTAATAAAGTTAATTGAACTATAATTCACTTCTGGTATTAAAACAGTTCATTCAGTTCATTTTCTGCTCGTAGTAATCATAAAAAAATTAACGATCAGTACTTAAGTAAAAAGATTCCGCTTTTTTATTTTACTTTATTACTGTTGCATTAAGTCATTCAGAAGGAAAAAAAGCTATGAAAAATGTATAATAGTTTCAACAAGAATGTTTATTACCCACGAACTAGAAAAGGAGTGGAGTTCAGTTAAATACTTGGCCATTGATAGGTTCATGGTTCAGGTCTATCCAGAGGCACCTCAGAAGAAAGGTCTGGCTGTATACTTCTGAAAGTCAGTCATTGGAAACCGTCTGGAGCACAGTTTTATTCTGATGTTTGAATCATTGTGTCAGCAGTTCATGGTCACTAGCCACTTCTCAAAACCCCGGTACAGGGTTGCTTTGAGTCAGAACTGACCTGACAGCGCTTTAACAGCAACAACAATGGCATCCATATAAGAGACCTAATGTTTTAAATGCCTCTCATTTTGCTCGGTTACAGGGTTGCAATATAGATTTAAATGTAGGAAAATTTGTTGTTTATAACAAGCAGTCCAGTTTTTCTTTTTTTCTATTTCTGTTTAAAATTGCTGTGGTGTTGTTATGTACCGTGGAGTTGGTTCCGACTCATAGCGACGCTGTACAGGATTTCCAAGGCTGTAAATCTTTACGAGAGCAGAAAGCCTCATCTTTCTCCTGCAGAACAGCTGGTAGTTTAGAACTGCTGACCTTGCGGTTCACAGCCCAATTCGTAACCACTACGCTACCAGAGCTCCTTCTGTTTAAAATTAGAGATTGAAAAAAACAAAAATTGCAAAGTTTTCTAATATATAAACTAATGTATTAATCACCAGAGTTGATGATTATAAACGTATTTTTCATATTTGCTTCACATCCTTTACAGAATGTCAACATTTTTTGTTTTTTAATCTAAGTGGTACTATGTGTTTTTTTACCCACAGTTACCAGTCATCTTAGCTCCCCTCCCCACCAATGTAAACAGTTTTGTTTGTATTTTAAATTTGCATAACAGTACCACTCTGTTTGAGTCCTGGTGTGGTCAGCTGTTCAAACTCCCCAGCCTCTCCTTGGAAACCCTGTACAGGGTTTGGTTTGGGTCTCAATGGCAGTTATCAACAACAATACATACAGAAGGAGCCCTAGTAGTGTAGTGGTTACACATAGGGCTGCTAACCAGACACTCTGTGGGAGAAAGGTGAGGCTGTCAGCCTCAGAAACTCTATACACAGAAGCTACTCAATGGCACACAACCACCACCACCAAACATATAGAGTGGTGGTTGTTAAGTGCCGTCGAGTCAGTTCCAGCTCATGGTGACCCTGTATAGGGTTTCCTAGGAGCGGCTGATGAGCTTGAACCGCCAATCTTGTGGCGCAACCCAACTTTGCAGTCCAGCGCATTAACCACAGCGCCACATCAAGACTCATATACTGTTACATTGTTCAAAGAGATGGTGGATTTTTTTGTTTTTTCAGTTTTTATTGTGAACTGAGTGATAGTTTACATGGGGAAACATTGGCTTTACACCATCATTTCATTGCAGTGATTACAGTCTCCTCTGCGCATCATCATTCAACAGTATTTGCTTCCATTGCCCATTTTTTGGGGGGAGGGCTGTATACAAAAACATTCAGGAAATTATAATAATTTACACCACTGAAGAGCACATTCTGCAAGCCTGCCTCCTGGCTGCCAACACTCAGTCCCTCTCTTTCCATGAGTCAGCTGCTCCCTCTCTCCATGTCCTCATCTCTGCCTCCATTTCTGGTGTCACTGCTTCTCTGGATAGGGTCCTGCATTTTGCTTGTGCGCTTCTCCCTTGGTGGTCCTAGGGGCCTCTGTTTCTGGACTGTAAGATTAACTATGCCACTGTTTTTATTATAAAAAACTTCTACCTTTATAGTTGTGACAGCTACAATTGGTCATGATAACAGTTACTCACTGTTGAATCATTAAGAATCTTATCCCCCTCTCTTTTCACCAGACCTGTCTAGATAAGATGAAAACTATTCAGTTGGGGACTCTGCCTTCCCCCACACACTCTGAAACTGAATTCCCTCTTGAAAACTTGTAAGCCAGTCACTCCATGCCTTTATCACCCCCTCATTTTAGGTAGCCAATGTCTAAGTTGCCCATCCCTGTCTACCCTGTATACACAGTGGATAGGATTGATATACTTGATGTGAAGACTCCTTCTCTCTCTTGGTATTTTGAGCTATTACATCTATAAGTATAGGTCCAAGTTCATCAAACTGTAGCAGTTTATACTCATTTCCTTTAATTTTTTTAATCTTACTGTAGTGGAGTATTGATTATGAAGCCATCGAGGCTAGATCAAATGGGTGCTGTCTGCAAGTTTGGGTGTTCTTGTGCGTGTCCCCTCACTTAATATCAACTGGATGCTTCACTCTAAGCTCTAGCCTTCTGTGGCTATGTCCTTGTCCATGGGCTCAGGTGTCCCCAGGTCTCACCACACTTTGGACCAACCAGCTCTTCCTCTTCTTTCTCAAATCTCTAGGTCAATGGGATTCAATGGACTGGGGTTGAACTCAGCCCCTATGTTCATTGCTGCCTTTCCTGCCCTCTTCAACTCACCAGTAGACCAGTGTGGTTGCCAGCAAGCTTACATGCCTGCTGGTGTATTCCCTTTTAGTTTCAGTCTTGGATGAGGGTTTTTCCTGATTTGATTGCTTGCTTTGATGGCTCCCCTGCAAACAACTTGCTTGTTATTGTAGTAGCCAATCATACTGCCATTTTTGTTTTGGGTTTTTCCTGATGATCTTTATTTGAAGATGTATCTTCTGTTGCTCTAGCCATTCCAGGCTGATCTGCTTGTCTTTTCTAGTGGGAATGTCCCACCTCAGAAGGTTCTGAATGGGGCTCAGGATTCCATATACACTACAGATCCTATACACTACAAAGGTTCTGCAAGACTCCTATTTCACCCAGCAAGTTCTAGCACTCCTTTTTAGGTATTCAAATCAGTTACAGGCTGAAGACGAGCTTACAAGTTTTCTCTAGTCATGTTTCCTGACATTCCTTTCTATTCCACTCAAGTGTCCATTTTACAATAGTTGGCAAGGGAAACCAGTATTCTTAAGACAATCAAGCATCTTAACATTATTTCCCCTCTTCAGATTATGCCTGGGTCCCTGTATCACAGAGCCCTGTTGTTCCAAGGTTGAGTATACATTGCTATTTACCTCTGTCCCATTTAGTCCATGAAAACCTGCCTCCCTATCTATCTTGTTCTTCCATCTCCTCCACCTTCTTGTATTGCCCTCCCCAACACCCGAACTATGATGTGTCTTACCCCTACCCTATGCTGTACTGTGCCCTCCCTCCACCATCACCCCAAGATGGTGATTTTTGCTTGTGAATTTATTACTTATTAGTCACTGGATGAGAAAGCTGTAAAATGATCTGAGTTACCTGACATTCCATTTTCT